GTCCCTGGCCCTGGTTGGGTCTTACCGGTGGCAACCCCTCAATGTGTCCCTTTCACGTCGATGTTTCTCTCTCTCTCTCTCCCTCCCCCTCTATCTGAACAAAAAATGGAAAAATGTCCTCAGGTGAGGATTAAAAAAAAAGATAAAAATCAATGGGAAAATATCCTCGGGTGAAGATTTAAAAAAAAAAAGTGTTGTAGACCAACGAGACAGACCAGACTCAGACTCAGAACTGGGTTCAAATTAAGAGAGCTTTATTAGCTGCGCGGTGACTGTCCCATCCTACACAGAGGAGAGAGCAGCCCCGAGCTCAGAGGATGGGTTGCTTATATAGTTGTCTTAGCCCCTGTTAAGGAATTTGCGTTAAGGGTATGCGAGCAAGCAAGCACATACAGAAGCAGATATTTGCAGTTAGCTGTTATGCCTGAGGGAACAATCAGTTTCTGTGTACGCAAAGCAATGGTTATCTATACAGTGCAGTGGTTATCTATTAGCAGCTAGTTCTTGCCATTCCCTTAAAATCCAAGGGGCAAGGTCATGTGTTTGTCCTTTACGAAAGTATAGCACAGCCCTGGCCAGTGTGTCTCAGTGGTTAGAGTGTCAGCCCTCTCATCTTTTGATAGTTGTTTTTTCAGTCTTGTTTGATTTCCTCACATATATGCACTGGTCAGCATTCAGCTTCATATTCAAGGCAGATGTTCTACAGATCTCTGGAGTTTCATCTTAATCTATTCAGGCTGCTATAACAAAAATACCATAGGTTGCTTGAACACACATTTATTTCTCATAGTTCTGGAGGCTGAGTCCAAGATCAAAGTGCCAGTAGATTTTGTGTCTGGTGAAGTCCCACTTCCTGGCTTATAAATGGTCCTTACAGAACAACAGAAGAGGTGAGAGAATTCTCTGGGGTATCTCTCATAACGGCATTAATTCTATTCATGAAGGCTCTGCCCTCATGACCTAATCACCTCATATCATCCCACTGGGATTTAGGATTTCAACACAATTTTTTTGTGGGGGACACAGACATTTAGTCCAAGTTCTCTGTGCATCTTTCAGCTCTCCAATATTCTGTCCCATGAACACTAGCCACCTTGATCTCTTCAGACTCTCAGCTGTGTCTCCTCAGCTTAGCAAGTCTGCCAGGCCTCGTCTAGTTTCTGTCTGGTGCCATTCTGCCTAAACTCTCAAGACAATAAGCTGTAGCAGTAGGGCCTACCTAGTTTCCTGTCTCTCGGGGATCTCTTTTATTGTCTGATGCCCAGTGTCTTGAAACTATTTTTCTCCCCTCATATGTTTTGTCTGCTTTTTGGTTGTTTCAAGTGGGAGGGTTAATCTGGTCCCTCTTATTAGGTCTTGGTCAGAAGTAGAAATCCCTTTAACTAATAATTGATTCATATTAATTATTGGTTAAAGCTGAAAGTGTTCTTAAACGTTTTCTAACCTAATTTCTTCATTTTGTGGATATATGTGAAACCTATAGCTGTCATATTCTTTGCTCATTGCCTCCTGTTCCCTGTAGTTGTTATGGTACAACATTAATATTAAATTGGCCCTAAAGCCTTCTATCGTCTTTTACTATATCTCTTCAATGCAGGTTTTCACAGTGTTAGCTAAAGATGGGCCCCTAACTATATGTAGTAGCATGCAATTAAAGACATGCCCTAACCTGATGAAGTGTAACAGTGGAATGCGTCATGTGTTTAGGACATTGCCACAGCAGGCCCATAGACTTCCAGGAGACTTCCTTGTATAACTCCTATTTTCTAGCAGCTAAAACACCATCATAAAAGCCTGTTTGTTAACCTGATTGAGGGTATAAAGAACTGGTGATATAAGACAGAAAAAGAAGATCATTTGAGCAGTTTATGATACAAAAATACTGAAGAATAATGCTACAAGGATGGGAGTGACTTGGAACCCATTTTTGGTAAGCTGTTGGAGAAAGGAAAAAGGTAGCAAAATAGAAATAAAGCGACAGAAGTCGGGCCTTGTTTTGTATGAGATATCTTCTCAAGTTTGCTATATCATTAACCGCTGCAGAACTTGTAGCCTGTGCTTGTTGGATATTCAAGGATGAAGTAATTTATTCAGAGCATACCTTGGAGAAAAGATATTTGTGTATCGTAGTGGGTAGGATGAAACCATTTGGCTATATATATGAACCAAAACATAGTGAAATCATATGTTAATAGAATATTATGTATATTTGTGTAGTCAATGATATGCATCAATGTGTATAAATTCCATATGTTAAAGTGAATAAATCATAATTCTTTGGCCTTTGCGATGGTGATTATATACTATAGCTAAAAGAGTTGAGTAAGTTTTTTTGTAGCTTTCCAGCATATAAGAATTAGCCTTTTAAAATGTGCAGATAACTTACTTATAGATGAATGTGCTGTTAATTTTCTAAGACTGAAAAGCTGTTGTGTATTGATAATATTAAAAGCTTTGTTTGGAAACAAAATATGATTTAAGGCTTCCAAAAACTAGAATTGGTTTTTAGTAATTAAGAAATAAATACTTAATGAGAGTATTTCTTATTTGCTGAATATTTTTGATGGTGTAAGTAGTGCTCATGTAGTTAAGTACCTGCCTTTTTCAAGTGATTATGTGTTTATGGCAAGAGTTTGTGTGGCTAGGGAGAGAATGCAGACCAGTAGCAGCTTTTTCTTTCCTCAGCCTAAGGAAGCATAGAAAGAAGCTAGTTCATAGCCAAAAATGCATGTTATAAGGGAATGGTAAACCTTAAAATCAGGAATTACTACATCTGGGAGGAAAGAAAGGGGATGCTATCAGGGAAGAACATTTACTTGTATTGGTGTTTTGTTTTGCTTTTGAAAGCAAACTTTTTAAATAAAATTTAACATGTAGAGAAAAGTGTAGATTATAAATATATATAGCTTGATGAATTTTCACAAAATGAACATACCCTGTAAGCTAATACCCAGATTAAGAAACAGAAATTTGTATTGGATCTGGGTAGTGAGCACTGGGTGTTTGTTGTATTATTATTATTTTTTAATCTTCACCCGAGAATATTTTTTTACTGATTTCCAGATAAAGTAGGAGGGAGGGAGGGAGGGAGAGAGAGAGAGAGAGAGAAACATTGATGTGAGAGAGACACATTGATTGATTGCCTTCTGCACAACCCCAACCAGGGCCTGGGAACCAACAGTAGCCAAGGTATGTGTCTTGGACTGGAATCAAACCCGCGAGTCTTTGGTCTGTGGGCTGATGCTCCAACCGCTGAGCCAAATCGGCCAGGGCTGTTGTATTATTTTTTATTCTATTTTTTAATACTTTAAAGTTTGCATAATATGTTTTATAAAAATCATCTCAGAAGTAAATATAGTTTTGCGAGATCTAGAAAATGTCAGAAAACCCACAGGCTTTAGTACTTGAGAAAGTACTTTAGGGAAGTAGGCTTTCTCCATGTAGGCCTTTGTCTCCCCTGTATCTGGTAAAGTTTACAAACCAGATATTGACCCCAGTTACTGCAAGTTTTAAAATGGAAAAAGAACCCTGGCCAGTTTGGCTCAGCGGTTAGACTGTTGGCCCTCAGACTGAAGGGTCAAGGGTTTGATTCCTGGTCAAAGGTGTATACCTGGCCCCATTGGAAGTCATGCAGGAGGAAGCCAATCAATGTGTCTCTCTCACATTAATGTTTTTTTCTCTCTCTCTCTTCTTCCCTCCCTCCCTCCCTTCAACTCTATCTAAATATCAATGGGAAAATATCTTCGGGTGAGGATTAACAACAACAAAAGAACATAGCCCTGGCCAGTTTGCTCAGTGGTTAGAGCATCAGCCTGCGGACCAGAAAGTCCCGGGTTTGGTTCCTGCTAAGGGCACATACCTCGGTTGCGGTTTGTCCCTGGTCCCAGTTGGGGTCATGTGAGTGGCACCCACTCAATGTGTCTCTCACATCGATGTTTCTCTCTCTCTTCCCCTCTCTCTCCCTCCTGCCCTATCTGAAGATAAATACAAAAATGTACTCAGGCAAAGATTAAAAAAAAAAAGAAGAACATAAAAAATGCCTGGCTGGTTTGGCTCAGCAGTTAGAACTTCAGCCCACAGACCAAGGAGTCCCGGGTTCAGTTCCGGCCAAGGGCACGTACCTTGGCTGCGGTTTGTTCCCGGTCCTGGTTGGGGTCGTGCAGGTGGCAACTAATTGATATGTCTCTCTCACATTGATGTTTAAAAATAAAAAAAAGAACATAAATAGTGCTATGAGAGATCAAACTAATAAAAATTACTTGTACTTTTTAGAACAATACATTATTAGCCTTTTATAATTTGCAATATATAAAGTTTGGGTACTCAAATTTATGGGTACATTGAAATGACAGTTTTGTTTTTGAATTTTTACTACTAGAATCTCAATGATGGTTTAAGAAAGAAATTTCTATTCAGTAAGTATAGACAGAACTGAGCTAATAAGGTATTTATATCTAGTTTAAAAGCTTTATATCTGTTATAGAAATGGTTATTTGTATAGTATAGAGAAGTATGTTTAAGGGGTTTTCTGAAATTAGTTATCTATCTGCCTTTGTGGTGGTGTTTTTTCTCTTTGGAGGAGGAGATATCTTTATTCCATGAACATGAAGATTTCTGAAATTTAATTTATTTTTACATGTAACAAATCTTTATATCTCATTTTATGAAAAGTATTAAAATGGGATTTTCTTCATTGTTCTCAACGGTAGGCTTTATATAATTAAATTATGACTGCTATGGTGTGGAAAAGCCATTTGTAAAATAATGTTTTGTAAAAAATGTTTGGTCATTAGTCTTCTTTCTGCTATTGGGGTTATATGCATACAATTATTAGAATGTTAACTTGTTGAATAATATTTGCTTCTTTACTCTCTTCTAGAAGCCAGTAAGGCAGTATTGGTAAATTACTGTTTCTGGTATATTTATGTGTATTTGGTCTTCAAAGGAGTTGTTAAGACACACTGAAGTTTTTGTTTTGATTTTCTGTTTTCCTTTGATAGGCACTGGAGGAGGACATGGCCGGACCTAATCAACTCTGCATTCGCCGCTGGACTACCAAGCATGTAGCTGTTTGGCTGAAGGATGAAGGCTTCTTTGAATATGTGGACATATTATGCAATAAGCACCGACTTGATGGAATCACACTGCTAACATTGACTGAATATGATCTCCGGTCTCCTCCTCTGGAAATCAAAGTCTTAGGGGACATTAAAAGGTTAATGCTTTCCGTCCGAAAATTGCAGAAAATACATATTGATGTTTTAGAAGAGATGGGATATAACAGTGACAGTCCCATGAGTTCCATGACCCCTTTCATCAGTGCTCTTCAGAGCGCAGAGTGGCTCTGTAACGGGGAGCCCTCACATGACTGTGATGGACCCCTCATTGATTTGAATTCTGATCAGTACCAGTACATGAATGGTAAAAACAAACATTCTGTTCGAAGATTAGACCCAGAGTACTGGAAGACCATATTGAGCTGTATATATGTTTTTATAGTATTCGGGTTTACATCTTTCATTATGGTTATAGTCCATGAACGAGTGCCTGACATGCAGACCTATCCACCACTCCCAGATATATTCTTAGACAGGTAAGTTTTATTTCTAGTTGCCAAGTTTGTAGAAGATTGCTATAAGGGCAATGATAAAAGCATATTTATGATAACTGTAATTATTATTGTTTTAATTGATATGTACTTTCCATTTGCTCTATCTGATAGTATAGAAAGATATGCTTTGAAATTGCCTCTTTCTCTTAGAGTAAACCAGATCTTAACGCTAGGTGAGTGGGAAGGAACACTGTTTATTTTTTTATCTTTTTTTATTGTTGTGAATCCTCATCCAAGGATATATTTTAGAGAGAGTGGGAAGGAGGGGGAGAGAAAAAGAAAGAGAAACACCAATGTGAGAGAGACACATGGATTAGTTGCCCCCTGCATGACCCCAACCGGGGCTGAGAATTGAACCTGCAACCCAGGTATGTGCCCTTACTCAGAATCGAATCCATGATCCTTTGGTGCACAGGCGTACAGGCTAGGTCAGTGCTTCATATTTTGAAGGGGTTTCCCTTTTTTTGTGTGTTAATCTTCACCCATGTATATTTTTCCATTGATATTTTAAAAAGAGAGTGGAGGGAGGAAGGGAGGGAGAGAGAGAGAAAAACATCGATGTGAGAGAGACACATAGATTGGTTGCCTCCCGCACGACCCCAACTGGGGCAAGGGATTGAACCTGCAACCCAGGTACATGCCTTTGACCCTTCGGTTCACGGGCTGACGCTCTAACTGCTGAGCCAAACCAGCCAGTGCTAATTTAGTTCCCTGGGCACTTCAGATTTTAAAGGGGTTTCCCAGAATGTTGTTTGTAATAAATGGAATTTGGTTACTTTGTTTTTTTTTAAATGATGCTCATGGTTCTGCTTTTTCAAAAATATGGGGTCTTCTGTGTCACCATATAAATTGGAATTATTACAAATAGTACAAACTAATTTATTAATAATATTCTGTTGCCCTGGCTCGGGTTCGGTTACCATTAAGGGCATGTATCTCGGTTGCAGTTTGTCTCCAGCCCTGGTTGGGTTGTGCAGGTGGCAGCCACTCGATGTGTCCCTTTCACGTCATTATTTCTCTCTTTCTCTCTCCCTCCCACTCTATCTGATAAAAAAGAAAAAAAAGAAAAAAAAAGGAGTATTCTGTTGTTTTTATGAAATACCAAAAGACTGTAGAAAGAGCTGACTTAAAGAGAAAATTAAGGGTTTGATTTTAGACATGTCGAGTTTGAGCTATCTTTTACACCAAATCAAGTAAGAGATGGAAGGATCAGTTAGAATTTGGAGAGATCTAGTCTGATTTGGGGGAGTTACCAGCATGGGTAAAGCCATGATGTTAGATAAGGTCTCCTAATGAGTGAAAGGGAAAATAAGAAGATTGAAAATTGAACCCAAGTACATTATAACATTTAGAGGTCAGAGAAATCAGGTAAAACTACCAAAGAAGATTGAGAATGTCAGGGCAGAGAGAGTTAGTATACTGGAAGCCAAGTTAAAAAAACAATGTAAAGAGGCAGGAATAAATAATTAGTTATGTCAAGTGCTGCTGAGAGGCCAGGTAAGATGAAGGTAATTGACCACTGAATTTAGCAACATGTTGGTCATCAGTAACCTTGACAAAAGTTAATAAAGGCAAAAGCCTAATTTTAATGCATTCAAAAGAGAATGTGAGACTTACTAGAATTTATCTAAAAGTATATCTCCACAAATATGAAACAACATGCACAAAGTTATTTGTTGTGACATTATTTGTAATAATTATAAATATTGGAAATAATCTAAATGCTTATCCATGGAAAGCTAGTTGAATGGTACATCTACACAATAGAGTACTGTTTAATCATAAGAAAAAATAAGGAAGATTTCTGTGAACTGATGTGAAAGATTTGCAGGAAAAACTCAGTAGCATTGAGCACCATGAGCATCTAGATTTCTAGGTTTCTAACTAACAGTACCTCCTAAAAGGAACCCCAGACCGAGGCTCCCTAGAGAAATGGCTGATTTTATTTTTTATTTTTTTAATTAATTATTTTTACAAACCCTTGTGTCGAGGGCTCACTTTCAATAGATCGCAGCAAGGGAGCTGCTCTGCTGTGTACAAAATTCCGTCCCATTCTAGTGCACTGCTGGTGGGAATGCAGACTGGTGCAGCCACTATGGAAAACAATATGGTGTTACCTCAAAAAATTAAAAATTGATCTTCCATTTGACCCAGTGATCCCACTTCTAGGAATATATACCCTAAGAAGCATAGGACACCAATCAGAAAGAATATATGTACCCCCATGTTTGTAGCAGCACTATTTACAATAGCTAAGATCTGGAAACAGCCCAAGTGTCCATCAGTAGACGAATGGATCAAAAAGCTGTGGTACATATACACAATGGAGTACTACGTAGCTGTAAGAAAGAAAGATCTCTTATCCGTTGAGACTACATGGAGGGACCTTGAAAGTATCATCCTAAGTGAAACAAGCCAAACAGAGAAAGACAAGTTTCATATGATCTCACTTATTTGTGGAATATAATGAACATAAAAGTCTGAGGAATGGGGTAGTCCCAGAGACGCGGAAGCGGGGTACAGACTGACAATCCCCTAAAGAGGGGGGTGGTGGGGGAGAGATAAACCACAGAACTTATATGCATGTATGCATGAACAGTGGACATGGACAACAATCTGGGGAAAGGGCAAGGAGGGAGGGGGAGGGGGGAATCAGTGGGGGAAAAAGGAGAAGCATCTGTAACAAAAATTAATTAATAAAATAAATAAATAAATAAAATTCCGTCCCAGAAGTAGGTCGTCTATGAATGGCTTAGCACCAGGTTCCCCACGAACATGCATAGCGTGATGGGCCAGGGGCAGCCCTCTTTCCGGCCATGAAATGGCTGATTTTAAGTCGGGCAAGGAAAGTGAAAAATGAAGTGCCATAAAGCAAGAAGTGCACAAAACCAATGGAAACGTGTCAAAAGAACAAAAGAGCTGGTATGAATGGGCTCCCACTTATCAAATTAGGACAGTTGGAACATCAAAAGGAATAGTTATGAGTTCTGGCCTGTTTGGCTCAGCGGTTGGAGCGTCGGCCTGCGGACCAGAGTCCTGGGTTCGGTTCCCTCTAGGGACATATAACAACGACAACAACAAAAGGGAATAGTGATGGTAATGAATTATACAGGGGTGGGAAAAGTAGGTTTACAGTTGTAATACAAATAAACAATACAATAATAATACAAGAATAAATTGTTTCATGTACTCATAACTGTAAACCTACTTTTCCCTGTATTGAGTAAGGAAAAAAAATCTATGAATCTACAGTTATAAATAAAACAAGCAAAAAATGGTAGCGTGAGAGGGAAAGTTCTTAAATTATAACAACAGGAAATAAATGTGGATGGAGTATTTTGCAACCTCCATTGTAATAATTAATTCAGGCAAGTGGATGCTAAAATTAGTGGGTGCTAAAATCTATTAGGTAAAAGGCCATTTGGGAGCAGGATAGTTATGTGATCTGAAAGTATAATCTCACATATTTAATTACAGGAATGATGAGGTACCTTTACAATGGCAAGATCTGGCATGTGTCACTTTAACCAGATGATCAAAGATAACATCACAGTGGGACAAACTGATATTATATGCATTGGATATGATGTTCACAAATCACCTATGTAATATAATCTTGCCCCAAAAAATGTATTCTGAATCCAGTCCTGAGAGAATTATGAAACATTCTATAAGGCAACTAGCTGATTTAGACTCTCCAAATATGTCAGTGTCATGGCACTGTGGGAATTGTAAGGCAAAACAAAGAGACATAACCAAGAGCAATGCATGAACGTTAATTAGATCCTATGTCAAGAAATAAAAATACTGCTATAAAGGACATTTTGGGATAATTAAGAAAATTTGAATATGGACTGCATATTAAATGATGTAGTATAACATTAAGTCAGTGTTACAGTTTCCTGGGTGTAATGTATTGGGTTATGAAAAGGATATCCTTGTTCTTAGGAGATACATGTTAAAATATTTAGGGGAGATGTGGCATAATGTCTGCAACTTTGGGGGGAGTTCAGTCTCCTCCAAAAGAGTGCATGTGTATAGGTCTTTAGAGAAAGAGTGAAATAGAGCAAATATGGAAAATTTTTGTTTTTTTAATCCTCACCCGAGGACATTTTTGCATTTATCTTCAAATAGAGTGGGAGGGAAAGAGGGAGAAAGAGAGAAACATTGATGTGAGAGAGACACATCAAGTGGTTGCCACCCACATGACCCCAACCGGGGCCGGGGACAAACTGCAACCGAGGTGTGTGCCCTTAGCGGGAACCGAACCCAGGACTCTCTGGTCCACGGGCTGACGCTCTAACCACTCAGCAAAACCGGGCAGGGCTGGAAAATGTTAATTATTACAAACAATTGATAGATTTAAGTGAAGAATATAGTGTTTATTCTTTCAGCTTCTCTTTTGGTATGATCAGAATTTTTCAAAGTAAGAAAAAATTGGGCAAAGAAATGCTGAGAGAGAAAGAGAGTGGAAAGGAAGAAATTGGAAACAGGAAAATCTTACAGGTTTTATTTTAAGGGCAGCCGAGAAATTAAGCTGTAGCCAGGGTAGAGGAGGAAAGGATATGAAGTCACCAGGGTTTTGTTTTGGATGGGCTATATTATAGCATGTTTGTTGTATTGGTCCCAGTTTGGGGGTGGGGGGTGATGTTGAAAGAAAGAGAGGGTATAATTGTTGGAGTCATGTCCTTGAAAAGAGATGGGATCCAGTGGGTGGGAGAGGCTGTTGTTAGGCACATCCATAACAGAGGGGAAGGTAGAAAATCTGGAAACAGAGGTAGAAAGGTTGCTAGATGTGATGGTGGAACATTAGGAAATGCTCTCTTGATTGTTTTTATTTTCTCCGTGAACAGAGTTAGAATGGAGAGAAGGGTGGTTTGAGGAGAAAGAATGAGGTATTTTTTTTTTTTTTGGTGGTACGTACCCCTAGTGGTAACCGAACCCGGGACTCTCTGGTCCACAAGCTGATGCTCAACCACTGA